CAGCAGCTCAACCACGCCGGGGGTCTCACCCAAAGCCCGAAGACGACGACGGCGATCTACATCCTCTACCTTTCCGCCCTGCTCCGGTCTCTGAGCGGCCATCAGAAGGGAGGCATGCCCGGGGTGCTCAGGCGGCTGTGCTGCCTGGCAGCCGACGGCATCTGGAAGCAGAAGGTCCTCTTCGAGGAGAAGGAGGTGCAGGGGTACGCGCTGGACCAGCAAGAAGCCCTCCCGCTCCTCCTCAACGAGTACCTCTTCCAGAAGGACATCTCCTGTGTCAGCACCTACAGCTTCATCCACCTCAGCTTCCAGGAGTTTTTCGCGGCGCTCTTCTACCTGCTGGAAGATGAAGGGGAGGTGTGGGAACCCCTCAAAGGTCCCACCAGGGATGTGAAGGAGCTGTTGGAGAGCTACGGCAACTCCAGGAACTACTTCATGCTCACTGTGAGGTTCCTCTTTGGGCTCTTAAACAAGGAACGCAGGAGGGAGCTGGAGGAGGAGATGGGGTGTCAAATCACACCCAGGGTTACGCAGGAATTACTGGTATGGCTCCAAACCAGCCAGAAGACGGCCTTAGCTCTTCTGACACAGGAGACGGCGATGATCCGCGAGCTGGAGGTCTGCTACTGTCTGTATGAGCTCCAGGACGAGTGTTTTGTGGCGACCGCCTTGGATCCTTTCACAGGGGTGTACCTGCGGGGGCTCAACCTTAACCGCTTCGACCAGATGGTCCTCTCCTTCAGCGTGAAGAACTTCCCCAAGCTGGAGTCGCTTGACCTGGGGCACTGCTCCTTTCTGTGGGACGAGCTCGAGGACCGTGCGGGCCCGCAGCCGGCCAAGCAGGCGTGTCGGTGCGTAAGGTCCCCGGCCGCAAAGCGGCGGATCCCTGAGAGCCCAAAGAGCTGGGATGACCCTGCGGAGGGAACCGCAGCAAGGCTGGTCCTCCTGCCGTGCTGGGCACGTGGCAAGGGGGTGCAGGGGTGACCCGGCGACACGGCCCATGGGCAAGGAGCTGCGTGGGGATGGGGACAGAAACAGGAACAGATTAGGGATAGGGATAGGGATGGGATGGGATAGGGATAGGGATAGGGATAGGGTTAGGGATAGCAATAGGAATGGAATGGAATGGAACGGAATGGAATGGAATGGAATGGAATGGAATGGAATGGAATAGATTAGAATAGAATAGAATAGAATAGGAATAGGAATAGGAATAGGAATAGGAATAGGAATAGGAATAGGAATAGGAATAGGAGTAGGAATAGGAATAGGAATAGGATGCATCTCTTCTTTGTTTTCAGGGAAAAGCATCAAGAGGAGGGGAAGCAGTCACCCATCCACCTGCTTTGTCAAGCCTTGGAAAAATCAGGCTGTAAATTAAAGATGTTAAGGTATTTCGCCCTTCTCTGCCGGGTGAAACAGGAAAACAAGCAAACCCCAGCTTTTCCACGGCTGGGGACGAGAGTCACCCCTGCACAGGGGCATTGAGGGCCTGCAGCTGTCGGGGACCGCAGGCGCTGGTGGGTCTCCTCGCTGCACGGGGAGGGTGGCCACATGCCGCCACGGCTCGTTGCACGGTGGGACTGGCGCTGCTGCTCCATCCGTGAAGACCCGCCTGGTCTATGGACACCCGCGGTGGCGAGGGGCTGGCTGGTGTGTCCGAGCGGCGGGGCAGCTGTGCCGAGCCCCGTGGCTCCTCTCCGTGTCCCTCTTGCAGGTTCGATCAGTGTCAGCTCACAGGCGCCTGCTGCGGGGATCTGGCCTCTGTTCTCAGCGTAAACCCCACCCTGACGGAGCTGGACCTGGCCGGGAACGAGGACCTGAGGGACGGCGGCGTGAAGCTGCTGTGCGAGGGGCTGAGACGCGGCGCCTGCCAGCTGCAGACACTGCGGTGAGGGACGTCGCCAGCCCTGGGAGGCTGCAGGAGCATTTGTCTCTTCTCCCTGGGAGCCTGGAAAGGGAGGAAAAAACAAAAAGCAAAGAGAAAGGCCCGTTTACCAATGCTGCTGTAGCTGAAGCTGGCTTGAGGCACCAGAGACCTACATGTCTCAGGAGCCTGATCCTTATTATTGCCTTTTCCATCAACATAATTTGGTTCCACATCTTTAAATGAATGAGTCTCTGCTAGGATGCTGTAGGAAAGTAAGAGAGAGAACTCATTTCCAGTGCCGAGGCCAGATGGAGAAGTTAGAGGAGCGGTTTGTGCTACTGTCCCCGCTGTTTGCTTGTCTGTGGGTGTCTCTCTGCACCCCAGGCACCTTCTCCCAGGGCTGTTGCCCTGCAGCTGCGGGTGGTTTTGGGTCCCTGGGTGCCCGGGCAGGGCTGGCCTCATGCTGTACAGAAACACGTAACTGCAGAAGCAGATTCACCCCACGGACCACTTCTGGGAAGGGGGTGAACCATCTCTTAGTGGTGTCTGCATTTTCCCCTCCATTTTTTTGGGTATTTCCGTTTCCCCCTGGCGTTGATTCAGGCTGGACAATGAGATTTGAAAGAGGCAATCTCTCTGAAACATCAGAAATGGGGCAGATTAATCTCACCCGTTTGAGCAGTGTCGTTTGCCCCCCCCGGACCTTTGCTCCCTGGTCAGGCGGACGCTGTCCGATGGCCTGACTTCCCCATTCCCACGCCATGGCACAGCGGGATTGATGCCGGGTACCGGCTCAGGGCTGCCGTTTGGCATCTTGTCCCTTAGAGTCTGAGGGTTTGGGTTGTGGTTTGCGCTCTGGAGCGCGTTCGAGCTGCTCTCAGCATCGCTGTGCCTGGGCGTGCTGAGCGGGGGGAACTCGGCAGCCAACGCCGGTGAGCACCAGACACGGGGGTGCCAGCTCTGGGAAAGGGGCGGCGAGGGGGCAGTGGGCTGCTCCCCTCTCTTTTCCAAGAGTGTCCCCA